GACAGATGGGGTGGCAGGGTGACAGATGGGGTGTCAGGGTTGCAGGGTGACAGGTGGGGTGGCAGGGTGACAGACAGAGTGACAGACGGGGTGACATGTGGGGTGGCAGGGTGACAGATGGGGTGTCAGGGTTGCAGGGTGACAGGTGGGGTGGCAGGGTTGCAGGGTGACAGGTGGGGTGGCAGGGTGACAGGGTGACATGTTGGGTGGCAGGGTGTGGGGGGTGACAAATGGGGTGGCAGGGTGACAGATGGGGTGACAGGGTGAGGGGGGTGACAGATGGGGTGGCAGGTACCTTTTTCCCTGGTGGTCCAGTGGTGACAGACTACCTGGTGGTCCAGTGGGCTCTCCGGTCTGCAGCTCTGCCGGATGCAGAGCTGCAGACCACATGGTGAATGTCTCGCGATCTCCAGTCAGAGCGTTGCCGTGGTAACCCGCGGCAACGCTCTGATTGGCTGGAGATCGCGAGACACTTCAGTCTGCAGCTCACACCCGGCGGAGCTGCAGACTGAAGGCTGGCTCTCCCGGACAGACTGACAGGAGGGGCCTCGCACCCGGCGGCATACAGGGCAAGCCGCCGGGTCCCCTCCTGTGTCCGGTCCTCGAGGACCCGACATGTCAGTCTGCCCTATGGCGGTTTAGGCGGCCGCGAGGCCCCACACAGCTCGAGGCCTTAGGCGGCCGCCTAAACTGCCTAATTAGAGAGCCGCCTCTGTGTTTGTGTCTGTGTGTGTGTATTCCTGTGGGCGGGATTTGGAGGCGGACCCTGTGGGCAGGATTGGAGTTAGGGGCCCCAAAATTTCTGGTGGTGGTCCTGATGACATCTACTAGACGGGGTACGCTTATGGTTTGGTTCCCAGCCCAGTCCTCAAGTACCCGTAACAGTCCGGGATTTAGAAATTACCCAGTTGTGTCTAAGGTGTTTTTAGAAGAAGAAAAAAATATAACACTTTAGACACAACAGGCTAATCCTTAAATCCTGGACTGGTAGGGGGTACTTGAGTTGAATACTTGAGCTGGGAGCCCCTGGTCTAGAGAATTTAGCTTTCGTTAGATTAGGGGGAATATTGGTCTTTTGTCTCTGGTAAAATAAGAAATCATTTTTTCTTTGGACCACTTTTATATATGATTCCACAGTACAGTACTGGTTGGGGGTAAAAGTTGTTTCTTAAGTTGGTGTCTCTTAATCGCAGTGCTGCTTTCTCCTCCTGTACCAGTATTGGAGGATCATGTTTAAGGGTAGAAAAGAAGGTTTTTAGTCTTAAGGATCTAAATAACCTGTGCAAAGCAATGTCTTATCAAACTGACTAGCCCTATAAGTAGGACAAGATGATAAACCCCTAGAAAGTAATTTTTATGTTGTCATCTTTGAGATTCACATCTGACAGATTAATTACTAGCATTTTTACCTATTGGGTCTCTTTGTGTTCACTCATATTTGCCAATGACTTGTCCAGGTTTCTTTGGGGGGGAGGGTGGGGGGTTTCCTAAATATGATTACTTATCAATAAATGGAATGCACTTTTACATGAAGTGAAAATGTGATGACATGTGACCTTTAATAGAATATAGAACATTATGAGAAATGGTATACACACATTTTAGCTAGATTCTAGCCCTAACAATGGCTTACTCTAACACTGCAGGCTTTGTGAAAAATGTTTATTGATATGTGTAGCCAGCTAAAGTCCTGACAAAATGTAATGCTACCAAACCTGAATAGGAAATAAGCGAAACACACCTTTTCTTTATGAAAATATGTTTCATTTGCCATTCTAAAGACGATCACACACACTGGTGGGAACTCAATTCAAATAATGAATGAGATTAGTGAAGCTGAGGTATTTCCTCTGTCTAGCTGCATTAATATATTTTGCAATGGAGACATCTAGTGTTCATTTTGTATATACAAAATATAATCCTTCAGTTTTACAATTACTGTTATTCCTATGTACTTGTCATTGTCTATAGACTCGTCTTCTGATAGCTGACTACTCAAACTAAATAATTTCTCAGTAGCCCACTAGATCTAAGAGAGTGCAAGTATCCATCAAATAGTTGTGTATGTATTATAGCTGTACCTGTCACATAGCCATTGATGACATAGTCATCCCTGACAGTATTATTTGCACAGGAGCTATTGAAGTAAGGAGCTTTATTGATATAGGGGAGTACAACATATGTAAGAGAGTTATCCTTGGTTATTTGTGACAATGATTAGAAAAATATATTACTTTCAGATAACAGCCAATAGTGAGCTCAGACTTTGTGATACCAAGATGAATATTTGTATTCTGTTAATCCTGTGATTTTTTTTATTTTTATTTTTATTTTGTATTAGTCTCTCCTCTTTATACACTGCTTTTTGCATTTCTGTTCCTGGTTAATGGTGTTAAACAGTTCCTGTGTATGCTTGTGGACCACACTTAATGTTCAACCCACCTAAGCCCTGAACATGTAGTTCAGCAGTCCCTGTAAGGCTGTTCTTTACATCAATGGTGGCTAGTTAAGTATTAAAAGAACACTGTAGGCACTATAACAATGTCATCTTATTGAAGTTGGTATAGTGCTTTCAGTCCTACCCACCAAAGCCTTTTATTTTAATAAAAGGCTTGGAAACACGGCTTCAAGTCACACGTTCAAACCCTCTGGGTATGAGAGCCGGGACTGTTACTTTGCATCTCTAATACCCTCATATACCTTTACGTCATGCTCTAATGTGGAGTATGATCATGATCTGCCATACAGAATTATTGTATTTAATGATTCTCTATGACAGAATCATGGGCACATCGCGGCAAGTAGCATTGGATTGGACCTTTAGATCATCATATAAAGAGGAGACTCAGCACTGGAAAGAAGATGAGTAACTTATTTTTTTCCATTTTTTTTTTGTAGGGGGACTGAAACTAAGCACAATTATCAAGACTCTGGCGTTAAGAATATATACAGTATATCTATTATTAACACTACAGTGTCCCTTTAGGATGGTGGAGCTTCAGATTCCTGCCCTGGAATTTGAGCCCAGCCTCTAACTTACCCTTCTTCTAGTGTTTCTTCTCTTGTTTCAGAATGTGTCCTTCTTTTCTTCCTTTCTGATCTATTTCTCCTTAAAACGTAAGACAAAGTAGGAGCTGCTTTATGTTATGTATGTTCCCTATGCTTGACTATGTTGACAAATGATGGAGCTTAAGGCTAGCTCAACAGTGTCTGTTAGCTTTACAAATAAGCCCCACCCTTTGTCAAGATTATCAAGCATAGAAAAAATACATAAGACAAAGTAGTCCCTTAATTGTTATACAATTAAGTGTTTCTTCCCTTAATACTGTTAAAAGCTCATGTTTTAATTTATTTACATTACCCATATGTACTTCTGAGAGTATCAGTTATGTTTCAGTGGGTGTTACACTTGCTGCAGGTAACAATGCCTAATCCTGCATGGTCAGCACAGACTTGCTTTCCATTACTGGTTAAAAGTCCCTAACACTTTATGTTGGCTTTGTTTAAATCAAACAGATCGGTTTTCTCTCTCTCTTATTTTCAGATTGCCTGTCCAAAGCTGCTGCAATAAATCATTCTTAAATAGTAAAATAAAAGTTTTACTTTCCTTTTCCAGCACCGAGACTTACTTGGCGCACCTCTCTGCTCTGCTGCCTAAGATATAATTGAGGAGGTATGGCCTTCTCCAGCAATGGTCCAATCCAATGCTCCACATAAAGGAGCACTGGATATCTGACATGCAGCCGCACGCTCTTCCAGTGCTTCTCTGAATTTAATGGTTTCTTATTAGCTTCTGGGTCACATGACCAGGTTTACATGGTCAGTGCAAAAGAACCGCCTCTGTGGGCTATCAGGGATGACAACCACTAGAGGTGGATGTTTTATATTGCAGGGTTAAATACACAGGATCAGTGCACCCAGACCACTTCATTGCGATAAAGCGATCTGGGTGACCTTAGTGGTCATTTAATATAAACATGTGCACTAATCAGCCATAACAATAAAAATTGAAAGGGAGAGAAGGCCGTCTGGTATGCTCACACAGAAGAGTTACTGTAGCTGATATTGCTGGCCAATAGAAAGGCATCAGAGCACACCGTGCATCACAGTTTACTGCATTTGGGGCTGCATAGCCGCAGATCGGTCATAGTGCCTATGATAACCAATGTCCACCAATGACAGCACCTTTAATGTTGAGGTGAGCATCAGAACTGGACCATGGAGCACTGGAAGAAAGTTACCTGGACTTATAAATCAAGCAATTTTTTTTCCGAACAGGTGGATGGCAGGGTGCATGTGTGTTGTTCACCTGGGGAAGAGATGGCAGCAGAATGTACTAGGGGAAGAAGGCAGGCCGACGGAGGTACTGTTATATTGACACATACAAACTACAGATTTTCTCTCTGCAGAGTCCCATTTTTTTTTATTTCTTCTTACGTGTTTCTAACTGATGGCTTCCTAGACAGTGAATAGGTCTAGAGCTATGGTCTGTCTCTTGATCTCTCCTGCATGCACAGAGTGAAATCACGCAGTATCCCAGCGGCCTCTATGTCTGTTCATTGCGAAGAGCAGCAATGTGATGCTGCACCTCACTGCTCCTCAGCAAACTTTTATTTTGGGAGCAGCACCCAGATACAGCAGCCCACCAGCAAATTTCCCAGTTGGCCAGCCCTGGACACTAAATGAAAAACCTCCAGGAAGGTCAAACAGACCCAAGAGTCAGTGGTGCCCACCCCCCTCCCCCCCCCCCCTTCTCCCCTGAGAAAATAGTGCAGTTGCCATCGGTTGAGTTACCTCATAGGGGTCCAGGTCGGGAGCTGCAGCCCTTTGGCAGATTGGGCCCCTTTAAAGTTGCAGATAGTGCTGGGAGGAAGTGACTGCTACTTTCTCCCAGCATACA